TATGTACAGTCTGTTTTGAGAAAAAAAAAATCGGAAGCTATAAGCCTTTAAAATAAACAAGAAAATTTATTGTACTTACTCGCAGCTCATCTTCAACTTTTCAACGTACAAAGTTACAAACATCGCAGTATTCTCAGCTAAATCTTGCTTACCTGCATTAAATGCAGTTTTTTATTAAAAATAAATAAAATATTAACGGCGCAATTTACCTGATTCACCATGTATGACCTTACGGTTAATGATATTTATAAGTTTGTATTTATGTACTACAGAAACCGTTATTCACAGCGATATAACATTTGCCCGGAAAAGTCCTTTACGAATGTGACTAAACTTTAAATTAATATTTGTTTTAATATTTTTGAGGAACTGAATCGATATGATTATGAAGAATACTAATTTTCTTGACAATTGGCCAAAATGCAAAATCTTCTCAGATTGTCTAGAAACTTGTTACTCGGGGGCTTTCGGTGTCGAATCTGGAGTCATATTGGAAAAATTCAAAATGGCGACTGCATTTTTAAAATCGATGGGATTACCTTCAATCTTCTTACTCAGGGTTTTTTTGTGGCGCTGCTGATTGCGAAGACAAACTCAGAATTCATAAATTCAAAACGGTGAATCCAATATGGCGGACAATTTTTTTTTTTAATCTTTTAAGTCACAGACTTTAAGTCACAGACTGTAAATTTACTATCAGATTTCGCAAATTTAAAATGGCCTGTATGCAACGGCCCTAATACAGAAAACGGAACTGGAGCCGGTAGTTTTAATTGAAGCTTTTGCTACTAAAGCTTGGACACAGCATTCGAGTCTTCAATAATAGCAAAACTGCGCTAGAGGCCGGCAACCGCTCATTAGACCGTACCCAAAAAAGGTCGCGTATACCCTGAGTTTGCCGACTGTATGGGTCTCCTTTTTCCATTTTTCGTCATATCTTCGGCGTTTACCGTCGAATCTTAAAGTATAGTATACCGATTTTTTTGGCTCGAGGAAACTATTTTTTGTTAAAAACTTAATTGACCTCAAGTACCCCGTTCCAATACCTAACCACCAGATCTCAATTCTTATCACGTTAACGTACCACCCTAATTTCATTAAATTAAAGCTGTCCAAAAATCATTAAACTTTTGGATATGGAAGTATTTATATTATTCCTGTAGAACTATTTGAAAAATGTTTGCCCAATACAGGTGCCAAAAGCATTAAGAAGTCTTCCCACTATGTCTCCAGTGTAATCTGTACGTCTTTTACTAGGTTTCCACATCCCTACGGAGACTACATGCTCGCTTTAAAAAGCAATAGCCTTCAACAACGGCAAATACTTATGCCTGGATAAAGCGGGATAAGTTATGAAATAACAGTCAGATTGAGTTATTTTTTTATCTCAGGCAGTCCGATGAAACCCGTAACTCCCTACTCAATCTTGAAGATTACTATACTCTTCCCCCAAAAAAAAAGTAATCCAAATGTTATATTCAATCATTCTTCTGCTACTAACAAACACCTCAGATTTCCAGCGAACTCTTCAATTATAATTGAAAAGTATTTCCTCTCCTTATTTTTGTTCTTCTGGGTATATGCATTTACCGTTGGACCACTACACTCAATCCCAACACTTGTGTCCCCTTTCGCGCACACTAGGCAACGTGAGCAACCCATGTACGAGGTGCAGTAACCAACTCGTGTGAAACCTTGATAACGGCAAAAAGAGAGTAGGTTTCCATGGGGCTAATCCCACTTATGCGGTTTTAGGGCTCACTAATGTCAGCAGCATCTGTTATCCTTCAGATTCGGCTAGAAGTGGGCCTCTGTGGTCTTGAACCAACTCCAAAAACTCTCCCAGCAATGGGTTCCGCACTGGGTTTTGGATCCGTAAGGTAAGGAACTGCCCCTGTTATTCGTACTTTGATGAGCCACCACACGAAAAAAGGACTACGTTTTGTGGATATGCACATGGAAAGTTTGAACCCTCCATAGGAGAGGTGCCTCTATCAAACTGCTGGCTTGCTTGGAGAACTACCAGGCTAACAGCAACACAGCACAGGAAATGCGATTGACGGGGCATAATTGCGATGCGAAAAATTTGCAGCGTTCGACATCTATTACAGCTGCTATGATTTGTAGTTAGGCGGATGCCTCGACAGATTCGCCTGCGTCAGTAAACGATTTGCTACAATCCGCATGAAAGCTAAACAAGAGAGGCAGAAAGTAAAAATATATCAGAAAATAAGGATAGCGACACAGGTGGTGCGTTTGACGAAGAACAACGCTGCGCTTGCTACGCACTTCGGATTCAGTCATCGAATTTTCGTAGATTTCACGAAAATCGGACTACACTGGATTCAGCTATAACCCAGAATGTATCAACGCAGGCCTCATATGGAAATGGAGAAATTTTTAATTTTTTTGTTTTTTGTTTTATTATTATCTTTTTTAAATTCGACTCCACCAATTAAGCTTTAGGAGTTGACTGCTTGCTTCCCCGCCTACCCTTACCTGGTTACAGCATTTCAATCTGTCTTAAACAGAAAAGCAAGCTTCCGTTAGTCTTCCTTCTCCGAAAAAAATCCTCCGTCCAGTAGAGAGGCAGAGCGGGCATTCGCGTTCTATCCTCTCGGAAATAGCTTTGAATAGATTCTGCCCTATCTATCTGGTCCACTTTATACCCTTTGTCAAGGAGTAGGATGTAATTCAGTTCACAAAATGATTAATGTATAAGAAAATAGGCGGCGGCCTCCCTAGCCGAGTGGTTAAAGAGACGAACTTCCATTCCGTACAGCCAAGATTCGATCTCTGGTCAGAACAAAAAACCATTATATACAAAACGATTTGCCATTCGGAGGCGTCGGAAAAATGCAGGTCTCTCCATTTGTACAACAATATAAAGACGCAGAGCACTCTTTGTATGAGATGCTCTTCCAAAAACTTAACAAAAATGTAAGCGCCAAAATATTATTATTATAAGGTTAGAATGGCAAGTTTTTGCAAGATTTCCAAAGCACCCAGCCGCACACAACGGAACCTTGTATCCACATAGAGAATTATCAAACAGGGTTATTAAAATTTTCACTGCCTCGAAGAATTTACTTGTTTATTCATAAACTTTACTTAATACTTGCCTTATAAAATTTAAGCAGCTGTTTTTAAGTGCTTAGCCTACCGTAATTTGTTTGCTTATTTCAGAAAAAAAAACTATAAAATTATTGGAAATCTTTTCCAGTTTCGTTGCTTATAATCTACATAAGTACATATAAATCGACTCTGCTCAGATTCACTAATTCTATTACTTTAATAAAATGCTAATTGTACGCAGTTCAGTCCAGTCTTGACGCTCAATAGCCCTCAACTTGGCGACACATGCCGTAGCTGTCGCGTCGTTGCCCAGGCATACACAGTGAGTCATTTGCCTCCTTGACCATGGTGTCAAAGAAATGTTCCCATTCAATGTCGTCCTTCAGTTCGCGTGGCGGTACATACAGCTCACCCACATGAGCGTTATCATCCACATCATCCACAATCTGCGAGCGCTCAATAGCGTCATGTGGTGCCTCAAACTCCTTTGCATTCACGTCCGAATTGAAGTAGATGCGTGGCGTGTCGATCGGCGGATATAGGTAAGTGGCACCTAATGAATGTTCAGCACGATAAACTGGCTGTAAATCGGCGATATTTTGATGTATGCTATTCAGTGAACTGCCGCGATTCGAGTCGAGTAAATTTTCACCGCGTATGGCCCGCGAAAGACGATAGTAGCCGCTGGCACTGTCACTGGGTACGGCCGCTGCTGTGGTGGTTGTGGCAGTGGAAATTGTAGCTACTTCGCCACTATTACCACTGCTGCCGGCTGAAAGACCTGGTGCTAGCAGTTGATTGTAGCTATCGAGATAGTTTCCGGAAATATGCGCTGGCGCAGTGTTCAGTTCGGGTGGTGGCAGCGCCTGTATTACGGTTGGCTCGGCTTCCAAGTGAAAGGGTTTGATAAGGTGCTGATAGGCGAGTGGATAGGGCGGTGGCAAGACATCTACTGGGCGGTCGGGATCTGAATTGGCGGCAGCGATATCAAAGCGCGATGTGGTACGGCCCTCGATGAAGTCCGTTAGGCGATTTGAGGCTGCGCCCAATGTGGAGTAGACCGCTGGCGAAGAATGCGAACCGATGAAGGCATCAAAGGGCGTCTGCGCATAGGGGGGTGCAGTGAGATAACCGCGGGACGCATCGAGATTGTTGGGTGCAGACTGACGTCCCACATATTGTAAGTTGGCTGGCAGAGACGCCGACGATTTCAGGGGATTACGGTACTTGTTAGCGGAAGCGGCGTTTGTGAAATGTTTGCGTTTCGATTTCGAGCGTAAAGAATTTCGCCGCAATGCCGATTTCGAAAGCAAATCGAGGAAGTTCAGTCCCTCCGATGAGCTGGGTGGAATGAGGACAATCATGAAATTCTCCAAATCAGCGCGTATATTGTATTGACCCTCCTGTCGCTGGTCGTAGGTTACGACACGACGCCGTAGTGGCTCGACATCGCTAACGCTTTCGGGCAGCGAAATCGCTGTTGGCGGTGAGGAGACGGGCAGCTCAGTAAGCGATTCGCTGACAGCTTCTTCGTCCTTTGGCGGAAGGGCTTGTGGTGGTTTCGTGCTGGTAGCCGTTGCAGGGACAATAGAAGCGGCGGCGGTTGCAGCGGTCGGAGTAAAGTTTGCAGTTGATGCAGATTGCGTAGTGGTAGCGCCACTGCTTTCGCTTGCAGCTGCGGCTGGACTTTCAGTTACGGTAGTTGATTCAAGTGCCGCTGTTGCTGCTGCTGTTGTTGTTGTAGTTTTTGGAAATAACAATTCATTTATCGAGTTGGCGTTATCGACAGCAGAAGTGGTCGCTTCGCCACTACCCACACGCGTTGCGGCAGCAACAGCACTGGTTACACTTGCAGGCAACGCATAGCCTGCCGACGTTGGTAAATTGCCATATCTGTGACCCGCTGCCGAGCCGACAACGGCCACGAAAATCAAAAGCGCGCAACGCATTCCTTTTGATGTTTGCTGGCACGCAAGACTCCTCTTCTTTTAAATTCTAGGCGCGTTACTTGTATCTTCAATTTTGGTTTAGTTTTATTTTTATCTAAAGCTTATACGAGCTGAAGCGCGATTCTTGCACGAACGTTCTTGACTCTCACGCGTTCCAAACGCAACTGTTCTGTGCTGAGTGCGCGCAGCCAGTTAACACTTCGCGACTATGCAGCTCAGCGCAACTTCGGACAGTAGTGGCCAGCGGTGCGCTCAAAACAGACAGTGGCTTAGATTATTTTTAGTTTGTTGCATTTCTTATTGTTTTTTTTTTTTTAACTTTACTTAAGTGCGCAAACGCAGCTGGTCTTGTCTTGGTCAAGCAATAAAAGGCCTGTCTCAGCGCATCTCTTTTTTATTGAATTAGCTTTCTTCTCTGTCGTCAAGAAAAAGGTGGTACGACAACTTTTCTTTCCGATTCAAGTAATGTAGGAATTTTTTGCTCGCTTATTAATGTTAATGCTTTTTCGTTTGCGTATTCAATTACCAAAGTATTTATGTAGCCGCTATGATTCTACATGCATACATATATACAACGTGATGTGAGTTTTAGTTTGTTTGGAATTTGTCCTATTTTCTCTGGATTTATTTATATTGGCATTTAGCTAGGAAATGGGTTATTTATTTACTTAAAAATGATTATTTTTTAATTGAAATTTTTTAGCTGAATGAATTGATGCTAGTTTTATAACAAAATAAAAAGTGTTCAGTAAGTAAGGATTTAAGTTGCTTATATTTTTATAGAGGTTATTAAGTGAGTAATAATCAATTTTGAAGTTGAAAAAATTTATTTAAATGAGTTATACCCAATTTTGAATTTGCAAAAATTAATTTTTATCTTTTATTCCATTTTCAGGAAAAATTCATTTTTTAACGAGAAAACTTCAATGGTAAGTTCAAGAATTTTATTCTTTTTGAGTTGTCACAGTAATCGAAATTTATCGAAATTAGTCAACTTATCGAATTTTTTTTTTCATTATCGGATTTTTAGTGTTTTTGAAATTCATCTATTATCGATATGTATCAAATTACTGAAATTTATCGATAAACTTAAATGTATCGGGTCAATGCAAGGTCCTGCCGAAGTGCTTAAATGACCTGCAAAGATACAAAATATTGTAGTCACGTTTTAGTTCCAAAGCAGGAGATTGTCTATGAGTAACTTGTACCTTTTAAGTTAAACGACTTGCTAAGATAAAAAAACCTCACCAAGGCTCTTAAAAACTAGAAAATTGGTCGAATTTCGACAGTAACTGGAACTCTAGTATTTTATTAATTAATATCAAATTATAACTCAAACTAAAGTAATTTAAAGCCATCAAATCCATCAAGTGAAATTAAATTTTAATTAAATCCGAAATTAAAATTAACAAGAAAAAGGCTTTCTCTTTATTTTTATTTGAAATACGCATGCAATTATTTGCCAGTCCACATACTTATGATCGTAGAATATCTAATTTCTTACTACCCTAGGCGAATATTAATTCTATTATTGACTATTTGGAATTAACATCCTATACCTCTGACATGATTTACAATCGTCACCTCTTAGCACAGCTAAAGCTGCTTCTAGGTTATTTGAGGTTAGTTTTTAGTGGCTGCCGGTGATAAAATCGTCACAGTTTAGAGCCGTAGTGTATTACTGCATATGTATAATCGTTCGTATATTCCTGGATATTATGTTCGCACCTTAGCTTTTTATCGAATACCAAGTTCCCTTAACTATAGTGTGATACCGCCTGGCACCGAAGTTCTAATAACGGAAACTTTTATCTTCGTGTGGAAAGGAGAAAGCCTGCTTTGGTTGGGCTTAATCCAAATCTGTTTAGGTGCATTTTTCAAAAAAATTTCAGTGCTTATGGAAATTAACAACATAGTACATGTACTTAAAGGTCCTCTGCGTTTTCCACAGCCTCCTCTTCCTCTATGACTGACATAAGGATATTAAAAAGACTACCTACATATATGTAGGAGAGGAGATATGCTTTGTATCAGTTCAGCTTGCACAACCTGTTCTAGCTGCATATGTTCTATACGCGTGACACCAGTTGCGGATCGAGTCGTCTATACCGAGGAACACCACATACTGACGCTCAAAAAGTTTTGAAAGGGCGTCAGTAAAAAATTTTCAAAAATTGACGGTAGTTTGTAGCTACAACACACTTGCACTTAATCATATTAAATACGAATGGGCTACAAAACTGCATACCAGGATTATAAAAAAAAAAAGTTTGAAATTTTGATGAAAAATTTTTTATTTTTTTGTTAATTTTTTATTATTTTTTTTTTTAATTTTCTACCAACTTATAAATTTCCGTTTATGTGATTTTTGTTAGAGAATGTTAAAAAACAGAAATTTAATACGAGGAAAGTAACCTTGAAAAAAAACAGCAAAAAAGCATTGTACCTATTCAAGTGCTTGAGAGTGTATGTAATCAAGTACACAATCAATATTTTTTTACTTCTCCGCGTTTGTACAACCCGCTGTTGGATTTAGAATCGATACATTTTTGGAAACAAAAACCATGTGAATCCAATGTCCACACTTTGACAAAAATTTAAAAAAATCGACATATAAAAAAATTCTCGACCGACTCTTCTTATGGAAGAAAATTAGTGAGACTCTAAACAAAGAAAAAATCCAAAATCAACGTTATTTTGTAGCCTCTGCACACTTGCTCTTTATAATATGAAAATTGAATAGGCTATTAAACTGCATACACGAATTCTGAATAGTAAGTGTGATATTTTGATAAAACTTTGTTGATTTTTTTTTTTAATTTTTGTAAAAAGTTTGAAGCTTGGACTGATATGGTTTTTGTTATAGAATAAACTATTTTTATATAACAAGTGTTTCTTTGAAATTTTTTCGAACGATCTTACGCATGTTTGAATGGCGAAAAGTGCAAAAATCCGTCAGCAAAAAAAATATTAAAAATCTTTTATAGACTAAAAATTTTATGGGCTATAATATAAAACTGCATACTGAAAAATGTTCTAAAAAGTTGGAAATTTTTATCCACAAATTGCTTGCATGTTTTAAAATTTTGTTAAGTATGAAATGGTTTTGGTTAAAGCATGAACAATATTTTTATAAAAAAAAATAAGAACAAAACATTTTTGGTATTAAAAAGCAAAAAAATTAAAACACTTGCTTGAGTCACTGTTCATAATTAAATATTGCCATTGTCCATTGTGAGTGGCAACTTAACAATGTAATGTCAACATAAACTCAAATGGCCTCAAAATATTAATTAAATTGAACTGCAAAACATAAAACTTTATTTGCTAGAAATTAAAATTTTAGCTCTTCCTCTCAGTAGCAGAAGGTTGAAGCGATTCTATCGTTTTTTTTTCATATAATTTAACATCACAGCTTTATTAGTAGTATAAATATTTTTTATGAGTAAAATAAAATGCACATTAAACAGACGCTCCTAACCATGTTTGGCACACTTGCATACGCTGAGAGTGGTGTTGACCTATTTCAAAACTTCTGAGCGTTGTATTAATTTGGGTGTGTGCTGCACATGAAGGTTGCTGTATCGTGGTTACTAAACCTCTGAATGACTTTGGATAACCTTTTATACATACAAACCTAAATATGAATGTATTTATGTAAGTGTGTATACTATTTACTATGATTATTTGTCACCTGAAAAACCCTGTGTTTAATTCATTGCCCCATCTCTTCAATATAATTGAGGCATTGGGAAAATCAATATTTAGTTTAGTAAAAATGCAGTGGTAGAAGCTCAATAAATACATATGTATGTACATATATACACTAGGCGACATATGAAAGTGTACACTTTGTTCTAATATAATATTCACAATAGCAGCCGAAAGCCTCCGTTGCTAGCGCTGCGTTTCTTCTTAGTTTATTTAATAATTTTATTATTATTTAAGCTTTCATAAAATAATGAATAAAAAATTTATATAAAGTGTGAAACTATATTTTCATAAATAATAAATGCAAACAATTTTTCATGAAAATAATTGTGCATATTATATTAGAACAAAATGTACACTTTCATTTGTCGCCTAGTGTACATCGTTGTTTGCTTTGTTTTTACACACGTGCAAATATTTAAATTGTAAACAAATAAAACACTGTTACACTGTACAAACTTGTTTTTGCATTGTTTACAAAGCTCATTTGTTTGAGTATTTTTTGCCACCTTTATTAGGCCTACAATTAACGTCGTTGTTGTTGTTGTTGTTGTTTTTTTTTTCTCAATGCTCTTGCACTTGAATCATGCATCAATAAAGTCAATCTCTTACTGTGTGTACTTTCAAGTTTGCAAAATTCTATAACGTAGAATAATAGTAATGATATTGGGAGGAGAAAATATTTTAAATCTGCGCCTCATTTCGTCTGTTAAACTCATTTGGTACGTGATGTGCATGAGAAACGTGATTGAAACGTTGCCGAGTTTGCTGTTTAAGTCTTTCGTTTTAGTTATTTTTTTTTTTTTGCGCGCACACCTGCGCCACATAGTATGTTTATACATATGTAGATAGATATGTATTGAATGTACATCTTTTGAAATGCACAGCTCCTTCTGCACACGACTGCGGTTGTAAACAAAAATTGGGGGAAAGGTAATTGAACTGCGGATATAGCTGCGCGTAAAAACGTAGCTTATTTATAATAATTGGTAATTATGTGACTTTATTGAAATTTCTCTTCTCTTTTTAATGTCATTTTGGTCAGATTTTCAAATTGGCAGTTAATTATTTAGTTTTTTAATTACAATTACGTGTGAGTGCCTCAGCAATTTCCATAGAAAATATGCAGATAAATAAATTTTGGATTTCTTTTTTTTTTTAATTACCAATATTTTAAGCATTTTGAGCATTGTGGTATTTTTTTTTTTGTTGGTTTCCTCATCAAAGCCTGCTAAAAAAATTGTCTGCAAGAAAAATGTCTTAAAAAAACTTGCCTGAATTTCTCCCACACAATTTGTCAGTGTAAGTCAGTCATTTTCAAGCAACAACGCGTCACTTTTTCTGTTAGCCGGGGTTGACAGTTACGTAACGATTAATGTTGATTCACTTTACCCGAGTTAGGAAGGAAGTTGCAAGTCTTCAAGCGCTGCGCCCGTATGCAAAAAAGAAGTGTGTGAAAGAAGTTCCTTCATAGATCTTAAAAAAGCTACGGACTTACTGGACGCCCACACGACAACAATAACGTGGTCTGTCTAGCGCTTTTGAAACTAGCGACACTCCAAGTTTTCAAAATTGAAGTCATTGCGGTGGCACTTCCTTCTGCGAAAAATCGAAGAGGTTCGCAAGCTTTTATGAGCGGAGGTATTGAAGTTGAACGAAGTGGTTCATCTGTTTATTAACCAATTATACTACTATACTACTATCTTTTGAAAGTGCTTAATATGCTTAGAAATTAGAGGATTGGAATTATCCTTTAAATGTCGCCTGATTGAGGCCGCGTTCATGCACTTCTCTTCCTCTTAAACAAATATTTGTGATGAACTTAGCTTTATTGCTGCCTTTTCTTTAAAACTCTTTATTTTAGGAATTTAATTTTAGTCGCACAGCTTTTTTACAGCCGCTTGCTGGTTGTCGAATTATCAAATTTCGATTATCGATAACTCTACAGCAACTGACGATAGTTGCCATTCGTAATACAAATTTTCCTTCTAGTTGCGTTGCCAAAATAATGAGGCAAAAATCTCACGAGGTAAGCCATACTCTTCGTCTGCTATGGCTGCAGTTCCATTTGATAATGTGTTTTCACTTATTTGACGACAAATGCCATTGAATTTGACATAGTGAAAACCAGCCTTAAGACTAGGCGATTGATTGGCTATTAAGGCTTTAGTACTCTTACCACCAAACCCGTTGCCACAGATTTACAACCTCAGTGAGACAGTTTACTCCCACTGTTGCCACTGTCCACAAAATTTTAATTAGTACTCGATGACATTTTCCGATACCCCAAGTGGTTATAGTCTAAAAAGGCATTCGCCAACTTTTACTTCCGTTTATGTAAGGTTAGATTAGGTTAATCTGACCGGAGTTGAGCCGCACATCCCTGTGGTGGGTCCTTAGCGTTATCAGTTGGAGCTCGTTTTTACGAGTTAAAGTAGACATCACAAAGGATTTCAACGCTTTCTGCAAATTTCAGTAGAAGTTTCAGCTCTACTTTTAAGATGTCCCCTAACATCTCGTATTGGTAGGCTCCCAAGCATTATAGTCGTGTTTCTGACATTCTGCAGGACATCGATATAGAAAATGCTCCAGGGTTTTCCTGGTCTCCCACTCACAACATTTCCTGCACCCGTCCAAGCTAGTGATGCCCATTTTTTGTGCATGAGCAGCCACCAGGATATGTCTCGTAAGCAATCCGGTAGTAACAAGAAGCGAGTATAGTTGCTTCCGCACATCACTTTTGCAGTTTTGCAGGCGCTTAACCCATTCCATCTAGCCCTGAACTATCTAATCATATTGTCGTCTATTTCGGTGTAAAAGTATTGAAGTGGTCTACGTCTGTGGCATTATTGTCAGTCTCATCTGCTATTTCGACGGCTAGGCTGTCAATGGCCTCCCTGGCTGCGAAAAACGTTTATGGACTGCCTTAATTGCCGCGTAGATTTTCTATTAAATTGATAATTTTTGCGAAAACGTCTGCTTGAAATATGCTGCAATGATCAGGTAATATTACTGTAAATCCCGGTAACCATTTCCGTTCCCTTTTAAGAGCCGTCCTTGAAAATTCTTCGAGATATACGGCTAGTTGTTATCCCCTTGCGCCAGCCATCCCTGCTCCTCAATCGTTGTGCGAAACCTTCGTTCCCACTTAAAACTAGATTCCACTAGGTTCTGAAATTGAATTCCCCGATGGGTGTCAATCTACTTGCGGATTTAGCAGAACGGTTTTCTGCGAATATGTCAATGGGCGGTAAACTGAGGATTTAAAGAGCAGCCATTGGAATGGACCTCAGCGCTCCCGAATGCACAGCGCCGCGAGCCGTTTACGTTCTCTATTGGCCCGAGGTATTAGGACTTTTTACGGCACCCTCTCCTCAACATTGCACCTCCACAGCAGCTTACTATCCAAGCCTACTCCCAAATACTTTGTGTTGTCTTTGGTTGACAAATCGATGCTACCTAGGCTCAGGGGTCTCCACACTGGGACCTTATATCTTCTTGTGGAAAGTATAAGTTCTGTTTTGTCTGCATTAACCCCAAGCCCCGCTCTAGATGCCCATTGGTCAATTACTTTCAGGGCGCTGTTTATTACATTACTGATATAGTCTCAATTACTATGTCTTCTGCATATGCCCCTAGTTTGGGCTCTTTCCCCTTGCATTGCTTAATAACCTTCTGGAGCAATACTGGGAATATTCCGTCTACTACTGGGGATTTATAAGGCTCAAAACTTATGATTACCCATTCTACTTTGGCAGAAGTTATGGTTGTGTTATCAACCATGATAAAAACATTAGAAGGTAAAACCATTCTCTCAATTCGTCGGCCATGATTTTTTTCTGACGTTTGCAAACATTTTAAAATCATATAAAATTGAAAATAAAAAAATGAAATTGTTCACAATTGTTGTTGTTTGAGATTAAAAATGAGAATGTGTGTGTGAGCCTGAGCTCGAATTCTAAAATTATATTGTTGGCAAACGTCAGACTGCCTCTCAATGATTTTACCTTGTAATGTTTTTATCATGCTATCAACCGCAATGTGATTACAACAACAAAACATATAAAGCTAGGTAAAAGAAGCGAAAAGATGTGCAATGAAAATTGCTAGCCTATTTCAGATGTTTTTTTATTTTCATTTTTAAAATTGGTAAAATTTTCCTTTATTTTTATGAGTAGTCAATGTTTTAGATTTTTCTTGTTAATTGAAAAGTAATTTTGAACCAAAATTCACATTGTTTCAACACAATTTTTATGTATATACATACGTATGTATTTGTTGATATTTTCCAGTTTTTTTCATGAACCAAATATACAAGATTACGTAAGATTTGCAATTGCTTTTGAAAAGACAATTGAAAGCAGGTTAATCAGCCGAGCACTTGCTTACATCACAAGCACCACTATTTTACACTTTTCTTTAACTAAAGAAGAGTTAATTCAAGACAACACGTTTTAAAATATTTGAATGACTAATTTCACCTAAATGGTGCGTTTAAAGTGGCTGGCAATAATTTTGGTTCTCGTTGTTTTGTTTGCTTTGTTTACTCTTCGTTCATTTTCCAGCGGAAGAAGATGGCGTACAACCCGCTCATTCATGGTTTCTTTCACTTTATATTGAAACATAATGAAAACAAAAATTCGTAAATATTTTTTTTTTCTTTTAGAAGACATGTATTTTTAATTAAATTATTATTAACTAAATCAGCACGTACATTATAATGTATGAGTTCAACATTTGCACGAAAAAAATTGGATAAACCTACACTTTTTATAAATTTATACATTTATAATATTTGTAACTACATAATTACATTTCGTTCATATTTATGTATATATGTATGTTTGTACAAATAAACAAAAACTCAGAGGTTCAAGCGGTTATAGGTAAACGTTACATAACTTCATTTAAATAAATTAATTTATTGGCAATAAAATAATACACAAAATAAATACTATGAACTTATCGCTAACTTAATGTGATGTAAGTTTGTATGAGAAATTAGCTGTGGTTGGAAGAGTGCGAATTGTTGGCTAATGTTTGGAGAATGGATTGAACTGCTTGCAGCATTATTAAAATGCAATAAACTATTTTACACCCCAAAGTCGGAATTGAAGTGAAAAAAATTTAATTAAAACCCTTATTCAACACACGAGTATTGGTTTTCTTTCTTCAAAATTTCACACATATGGCAGAACTCAGTTTTGCAACCAATTCTCTATGGGCTATTTAGATCAAATCTGACTTTGAATTTACATGTGAATAGGGTCAAGAAAAGACTAAAAGAAAAAACTAGAGTAGTTATAAATTATATGGCTGTTGACGGCTTATTTTTTAACATTAACATTGTAGAAATCATAAATTAAACATATGTTCGTAGTCTTAAGTAAAGTATTTTACGAACTCGGCTGACAAGAATGTGTTTTGCCGAAAGCAAAAGTTTACTAACTAAAAATTATTAGTAAAAATAATTGCTGTTAATCTTTTTTTAGAGAGCCCAATTTGCCAGAATATTGCGAAATGTTTATATAAATGGCAATGTAGCGCTTGTAAATGCACGAAAATTACAAAGAGATAGGCATTGTGATAAAGAAAAAGTTATAGCTCAAGTACTAGCGTCTGCGACCTAAAATTACAAATTGACTTTGCGCAATTTTCCCACGATGTACGCACAATGTGCTAGACTTGAGATGAACTTATTAAAATTAAAAATAAAGTTTACAAAAGTTGAACAGCCTCCGATGTTATGTTTTTTTTTTGTTTTTGTTCTTTTTCTTATTATACAAAAATGTATGAAATAAACATACATTCCGTTTGCATAATCACAATTGTCTTTTTTCTTTTCTTGTAGTTTTTCTCTTTTTTTTTGGTTCCATTTGTTCTCTTAGTCTGTCTTTTCCATATCACGCAAACGTACATCTTCACTTTCCGCCGCTTGATCATGTCGCACCGCTGGTTCACGCATGTTCACACTAAAGCAAATGCGATTGAAATGATCACACATTTCATTCACCACATTTCTTCCATAATGCCAATGTGTAAGTGTTGTAATTATGAACAGCATATAGAGCATTACACGTTCAAGAAGCGGTATCCATAAGCCGATTCCAACGAAGATCACAAACACGGGTGTCAAATAATGGAAACTTTCACAACGTGTATTGGACATTTGCGCAACAATCAGGCGACACTAAGGAGGAAAAAGAGAAAATTGTTTATGAGTTGTGATGAAATTTGTAATGTTAATTAAAAATCATGCTTATATTATTTATGAGAATATATTGAAGTTAACTTGTAGGTTCATATCACCTAAGCTAAGCCATGCGCTTATCAGCTGAATTTGAAGTTAAAATCAAGCGTCTTGTATGAAAGTGCAAACGAATCGCACCCACAAGCGTACTTCTGATTATAGAATCTTATTTAAGTATTCAATATTATGTAGGCTAAGTAGCTAATCGGATGTGTACACTTAATTAACTAATAATGCGATTTCTCCCCGTACACTTATCAGTCGGGATTATTTTCTGTTTTGCAATTTGTATTTGATTTAGTACATAAAATTACCTACTAACCTTCAATAAACAACAAACGCAACGACATACATGCAGAATCTTAAGTGTAAATAATAACTCATCGCCAACACTGATAGGTTATCAGCTACCTACAATGGAAAAGAAACTAAATTTCATAGACAAAATAGAATAAGCGCACATAAGGGGTGTGCTGCGTAGTAAGTGCATGCAATAGATACCAAAATTGTCATTTACAACTGCATTTTCGAGGCTGCATGAATTTCTTTATAATTTTTTACACACCAGTTAAGATTGTAGTTCACAATTGTGATCACTTAAGTGATCTCATATACATACATACATACTTATAACAGAGTATACGACTCATCTAGTAGTTATGAAATAAAAAGCAGAGTGTGAAGCGAATCACTTTAAGCTATTTGAATGAAGTCCAGTGTGCAATTGCCATTGTTATCGCTAGTATGATTAGAAAAAAATATCGTTATCCTAATGTGTAAAGCATGCATTACCAGTGAATCTTACGTTATATAGCCTATATTTGGAGAATATACAAACATATGTATAAAAAGTGGTATGGCATGTCATAAATTCATAAACTCATTGAGTTTTCAACATATGGGGATTCCATGAATTTTTGGAGGAAAATGAATCATAATTAATATAAAGATAACGCTCGTTCAAACTCACAAAACTAGAAATCTAAAAGTACCACCTGTGACTGAGCACTTGTTGATATTACCGCTACATGTATTTTTTGTATCCTCCAGAGATCGGACATACATACTTACACTGACGTTAGAGAATATTGTGCCACTCAGCATAAACATTATGCGTGGATCTTTTTCCATTATTTTATTTGGCGAGATGTAGGGCCACAACAGCATTATGACCATGAATGAGAATAATGGCCATATGGGACGCATCGCTTCCTTGAGAGTGCGCATTTTGCCAGTACGTTGCACATAAGAGCTACAGAAATAACAGAAATTTTAAAGGTTTTTCCATAACATACACCCAGTGTTGGCAAAATGTTAATCTGATTAAGGATTAAAAATTAACGATTAAAATGTTAATCGCGATTAACGATTAAAATTAATTAATCGTAATCATCTGTACGATTAATGATTAAACTTTTTCAATCGTTAATCGTCGGTTGTGATTACGATTAATTATTTTTTATCATTAATCGTTAATCAAATTAAAAAGAAATTCTTATTAAGTGGTCTAGTTTGTCCGAATTTGAAGCCAACCAAGAGTTATAGTGATTCTTTTATGTTTCACGCTTATAAAAAATACATAATATACAAACAAAAAATATTATTATTTTTATTAGTAATACATAAACAGGAAATTTTTACAACCCATCGCACATGTGCAGAAGGATATTAAAACCTAGTTTACATAAGGTCTGTTGGAATAGATTTTAATGAAAACGCACACAAAATTGCTTAGATTGATGAGGAAAACCGACTTAGCCATACCCGATTAACTGACCTTGTGTGCACAGGAAAATTCCAGCTTAAATTAATTAATCACCAAACCAACTTAATCAAATTAAGGGTTAATGATTAAAAATAAATTTTTTTAATCGCGGTTACGATTAGCTTTTTAACCAGATTAAAATTAATCATGATTAACTGTAATCGGATTGAATTTAATCGAATTAACTAATTGATTAAAAAATCAATCGATTAGTGCCAACACTGCATACACCATACCAATTTAATTCAAAACTACTCACTTATACACATTTATGGCCACCATCGGTGTATTAGCCATCGCACTAAAATGCAAAACGATTTCCATCATGTTCCCCAGTGTAATGCCCAGCGGTAATGTGCGTTGCCAAAACTCAAAGCCAAACCACCATGTTAACAGGTACATAGCTGTAGAACCCCACATGCTTAAATCATAGCCCCATGGCAAATATAGCACGCCCGTATTATACTTTTCCCAATGGGATATATAAAAATTTAGAAATACCATCCAACATACATAGTACATGCGTATGGGCGCCACTGAGTACACAGGACTTCGACCAAATATACTATACAAACATGTGGGTATCAACACAGCTGTATACGAGTCCAGGCCGTGATCGAAGAGTTCACCCAGCGGTCCGGATAAGCCAATACGTCGGGCCTGTTTACCATCAATGCCATCTAATGTGTAAGCTAAAAAGATGTTTATCGCACAACATAACCACACCCATGATGGGATGGGTTTGGTGTTTGGTAGGCCGGAACTCGCGTAAAAATTCCAATCGTAGTAGGATAAAAGCAGGAAATTCACCACCGTACAGAGGAAGCCAAGAAAAGTCATAACATTTGGTGCCAGCCATCGCGGAAAGAACTGTGGAAAAGAAGCGAAAAAATATTTAGTATACAAAGCTATAAACATAACAAAAAATTTAGTTGAATATGTGCATATGTACATACATACATAGGTGGGTACACAATTATACCCATACGTACAATCATTGGCGTAGCCAGAATGAAATTTAGGGGGGCCTCGACCCTATTAAGCTGGCATTTCAGGGTACTATTTTATATATATATAAGGAAAATTTGAAAGTTAGGGGGGGCTCGAGCACCCCCCTGCCCCTACCTGGCTACGACCATGCGTACATTCTAAAAGTGTAGTTGAAAGGCCATTTACTCATAAATCTAAACAGGTGTTTGCATTTGTCATTGGGTGGGAAATGAAAAAGAATCTATTGATTGTTTAATACAATGGCCAACAACATTAAGAATGGATTGTATTAGTCCTAAATGGTGTGAATGGAGAAATATTATTGAAAAAGGTTAAACCACTAGAGTTCAATGAGCTTTCATTCTTTGACTTAGGCAAATTAAGCTTAAAATACAAAAAGAAATGTTTCCTCTATTTTGAAAGCATAATAGTGTATACATATTTCACTTATATCGGACTATCACATGACGTACTATACGTACGGTTATTGTCCACTAACAGGCTTGTTTACACTCGCATATTGATTTTTCTAGCGCAACCATATCAATACGTCAACTTTTTTGCGTTGCCCCGCATTTTTTAAATTTAATTCAAACAATATAGAGGAGGGTGCCCAAGTGACTCAGAATTACTGTCAATGAAGTCTGTTGCTTTATATGGCTTATTTTATTTACCTTGACAGTCCAATTCCAGAATGGGTGCATAACATAAACGCTCAGCGGTGAAGTATCACGTGCACTGTACTGGAATCATACAAACGTTATATAGCTTTTTAAAAAATTCTTAATTTCTATGCAGCACTCTACTTACCTTATAATTATCAAAGCCATTAAGTTGCTCCTTCGTGAGATATTTGTAATCCAACAATACTTGGAGCTCCATTTTTTGTTTGAGTCTTTAGAAGAGTCGCTTTGTCAGCGCTGAGGATGATTCAGTTTATGCGCCTAATGCTACGTAATTGGAAGCGGGTACAAAAATGTATAGCTTGTATGCGGATTACAATGGAAGCGTGTAGTAATATTCACAGGTTATCCTCTTTTCATCCCACCTTAGTGCAAAACTAGAGCAAATTCAATTAAATGGAATTTAAATCGCGACAACAACACACGTCGCTTGTGTAGTTGCTATTTTACAAGCATTGGTTGCCTATACGCAAATAACTAGGGCCGTGTATGGTAATCAACAACCAGCTCATAAAGATGCGTCTGATACTGTTGATGAACAATTCAGTGGGTAGACAGATATAATAGACGGCAGGTACAAGGGGATCGTGCAACAAAGGAGCGCACACACATGTGCACTAATGCGATGGATGGGAACTTTCCACTGCACAAATCAAAAAAAAAAATTGTTCACTTGTTCTCAAACAACTTCATTTATTTTCACGTTTCACAGTGTTCAACTTTTAAATATTGCATTCGATTTGTGGAAAAACTGGATTTGTGCACAATTTAATTCATCGAATTAATAAGAAAAAAATGCGTACGTAACACACCCCGCCACGAATTGAGCGCCTTTCAAAGGAGAAAAAAATACCGCCGACGGCTAAACTCGTGAACAAATGAGGCAAAAATTAAATTTTATTTTCTTTGCAAAACGCGTCGATTTTTGACATTTCGCATGAGTGAGTGTTGTGCGCAGTATTCGGACACCACACGGATGAAATTTGATAATCCCAGGTTTTGAAAAATGTTAATAAGTTCTTTTTCCATTTGTTTGCGCGTTTGTTTTTGCGGAAGGACAAAACCCAAGGTAGAGTGTTTTAATTTTTTATGCATTATTCTAAAAATGATACGCACGCAAGCTAGTATGAAAAATTAAATACTAGTACGAAAATTTTGTGAGTACACAAATTTTTTGAGTGACATACTTCTGAATCGAGTTGTAGGACTCCGAGCACTGGTAGTGCGAAAGCCCAGAGAGCGGACCAGTGGTGCCACTTAAACGTAGTTTTTTTTTGGTATCAAAAAGCCTACCAGATCAATTCACAAACTATTAGTAATTTCATTCTTGAAATGAGAATAACGTATTGTATAGAAAACAGTTTTAAAATTTTTTATATATCTGAGATTTACGCACTTCAAGTCAATCGTTTTATGCGTTTGAAAAAACAAAATCAGACCTTTTAAGCGTTTACATATGTAAGTGTTGTAATGACTTGCAGTTTACATGTTAAAAAAATTCTCCCAATTCGCACACACCCTGTCTTACCAATACTTTTAGACTTTGTAAATTGCCTAGCTTGAAATTTATTTTTATTTTAAGACGATAGGCAATTTTTTTTTTAAGAAGTGAGTTTTTCTTTTCAGAAAATTGTGTGTTCAGTAAAATATGGGGAAAAAACAAGGAAAACTCATACGTGTGAGCGAATTGAAACTAATTTTGTGAACTTATAAACGCAAACTAATCAACCAAATTTTAGTACTCAATTTGGTTGTATTTTCAAAACATTTTTGGCTACCAAAAGCTTCATCAAACCAACCCAAACTACCGTTTACACGACAGTCAGGTCTACGTAACCGGAACGACCCAGACTTATATATGGCCAAGGACTATCACTTCAGCAACACTGCCCACAAACTCTTTGGGGAATTTGCATGATGTTACAACAACAACCGGAAAACAAGTAAAGGAGTATAAGTTCGGGCGAAACCGAACATTACATACACGGCGCAGGTTTCAACTTTCTTTGAACTACCTTTGCATGATAAGTAGGGGTCTTTATCCGATTTCAAACGTTTTCGACAATATGCAGAGTTAGACTTAAGGGGCACCTATGTATGTAGTTATAAAGAGGGCGATGCTACGCCGAATTACTGAATTATCGAAGTTTTCGTGTTTCTGTAAATTACCGTTATATGGCAGGTGGGCTTGGTTATTACCCGTTTTTAAAGAGTTTGAAGAGATTTCTTAGCCAGACTCTACCCAAGCCTCGTACCCACTTTGGTAAGGATTGGTGAAGCGGTTATTGAGATACAGTATTTCGTCACAAGTGGGCGGGGTCACGGCCATTTTCCAAAAATTTCATAACAATAGTATTTTTTACCGCAATTCTACTCCACGTACTAATTTTCAACAATTTGCATCAAATATTTACTGAAATATCGCAGTTTTTGCATATTTCGAAAATACCGTTATATGGGAAGTGGGCGTGGTCACAGTCCGATTTCGCCAATTCTATACCAACCTACCTCGGATAAAGGGCAACCTACATACCAAATTTCATTGAGATATCTCAATTTTTGCTCGAGTTTTCGTATACACGGAAAGACGGACGGACACACAGGCAGACATGGCTTAATCGACTTCTCTACTCATTCTGAGCATTTATGTATACAGTTGTCCATATCTATCTCGATTCGTTTTGGCTATTACAAACAACCGTTATACGAGCGCTCGGGTATAAAAATTAAGCTAACAATTTTGTTCCGATTGGAGCTAAACGGCAACGCTGGAGCGGGCGGCAATTGAGTGCTGTGCGCTGTCAAAATACGAAAAGAAAAAAAATCATAGCACAGTGCTTCTAAAACTGGGGGAATTTTTCATAGCGTCCCTACGAGAACAGTTTACCGTTTACCCTATACTCCAATACAATTATGTTTTCGTTCTCAAATCTCAAATTACTTCGAAAATTACCTGTAAACAGACATTAGAATAGAACGAAAACTCATACGTAAACGAAAATGTGCAGTAGCAAACGGTAAAATGTACCGTTAAGAATTTCATGGAAACTTTACCCAACAAACCAGGTAAGGCTACCTGTAATTTATGGGATATTTACCTAATCCGTACTGGCAGGATGTCACGGTTGATGTGGGGTTGATTCATGCTGTGTTCATTTATAAAATATTATAATAATAAAACCACTTAGTTGATTTAGATTTATAATTAGTTGTTCTTTATTTATTCAATGAATACTTAATTGATTTTCTCATCACCAAGTTTGTGTAGTTAATTAATTAATTTAAATAATGCTTCGTTTTATATACTTATGTATGTAGTGTAGTTCTGGATGGGTTTTTTTTTCTTAACTTTGGACGTCTATTAGGCATATTGAAAACTTAACATTAAATACAATAAATATTGGTAAAAAAAGGCAAAATATAAAAAGCGTATACATGGCTTAAAAAATAGGAACACAAATACCTTTTTTTTACTAAATATAATGATCAAAATGGAACTAATATTTATTATTTAACAGTAGTTCTAATAATTTACTATTTTGATATAAATATGTTTAACTAATAACTGGTTAAAGCATTATAAAGACTTTAATACGAATTTAACTTTTCCTAAAGGAAGTTTGTAAGATTATTTTAGCTTTCGGAAACTAAGAAAACAATATTTGATTTCGAACAGTCTTAAGAAGTATTTACTGAAATATTCCTCAAGCGTTATTGTTTCCTTTAAAATAAAAAAAAGTAAAAAATAAAAAATATAATTCGTAAAAAGTTCGACTACAATTGATTTGAAAAAAAAAACTATTAAATTGCCGATAAATTTTCAATTTTTAGTATTAAGCATATATTCTTAAAAAAAAATCTTAAACTAAACTTCAAACATACGTATGTATACATATATTATGTATGTAGTATGTATATAAAACAATCTAGTAAGAAATGCATTGGTAAAAAATAGTAAATTCTTATAAAAGCGGCATTAATGCATTTTTAATGTTTCTTAGTGTTAAAAAAAAATTTTTTTTTTCGTTATATTTATGCACAAATCCCTAGTAAATATGTGTACGTATGCGTTTAGGTAGTACGAGTATACATTCGTTATGTTTGTATGTAAATACTTATAAGAGTAGGTGTAACACATTTCTTTTAACGAGTATTAAATCCGATGAATGAAGGCATTCAACGCATTCTAATGAATACGAAATATGTATCGTCATCTCTGCTTCCACATTTCTTTTATTTTCCGGCCAGAATTAAAGCCGCGGTCAGGCATTGCAAGCCAAATACTTTCAAGTAATTTTGCTATGAAAATTAAATTTTCATTTCTTTTGCAAAATACAGAAAACGAACGTTTTGCCACTCTTTGGCAAATAATTTCGAATGGAAAACTTGCATAGCCGGGCGCAGTCTGTAGCCCGACTACCTCCCACAGTTTATAGTGATAGCTCCATTAAAGCAGAGACGAAATTTTTCTTTCTAATCTATAAACTACATAAGTATGTATGTAAGTACATATATTTTCTACTAAACATTATAGTCTGTTTTTTTTTTTATACTAAACATTAAAGTTAGTTTGATTTTTTTGCACGTCGCCTTGTATTGCCAGGACAACCTGTCGAGCTCAGTAAATGTAATTTCCAACCACCATCCAATGGCAGGTGTACGTCATCATGACACAGTGGGCAACGAGCAGCGCCCGTTTTCAGTTCTGAAAAAAAGTAAAATAAATTTTCTTTAAAATAGTTGATTTAATTTGTTAGATTTTCATTATTTACCTCGGCAGTAGTCCTCCATTTGATGTAAATCATACAACTGCTTGTGAACCGATTCTGTGCAGCGCTCACACATCACATAGCTGTCCTTTGCCTCACATTCCTCTGTGGATTTAAGTTATCGATATATACATAGATATGCATATTTTTTAAAGTTATGCTCTACAGCCATGCGATTACAAAATACTCACTTGTCAGATGATAATTCATAGCCGCCACTTCTAGAACTTGGCTACATTGAGGGCACTTTGTTAGAAAAGGACATGACTTCCAGTAATGTCGATCCAATTGTGACTGATCGCTGCTACTGCAGCACCAATCGCAGAATGGGCAATGTCTGAAATACGGACCGTTGTAATAAATGTAATTAACAATTTCATAAGGATCTAATATCAAAAAGCTTGACGGTTATACATAGAATATATTTAGGATATATGCGAAGGAAAAGCCAATATTTCATTAAAAAATTTGCGCCACAGGTTTATCATGATCGATACTTACCGATATCAACGTAATATAGTAAAACTGCGTTTTTAGTTTTTCTCTCTGGCGTCCGGACTTTTTTAAGGAATTTGAAATTTGAAAAATAGTAATACTTAAAAAAAAAAAACAGTGCAATGTAGAAAAATAGAATAGGTATGTTATTAAAGAGAAAATTTTGTTGAATTAAAGCAGGTTCAGTTTTTTGGTGCATAAGGACGAGTAGGTATTGAAACTGGGTTTTTAAAATTGAATCCTTGAATATCCTTCAAATTTGGCAACAATTATTTAAAAAAAAATTATGTGTTTTAAACTAATATACAATTCATTAGCTAAAAAAATAATAAAATTAATAAAAAAGGTACTTTCAATACCTATTCGTCCTTGTAAACTAAACAATTTTAGTTTTTTTTAATTTTATAGAATTTTCTCTTTCATTCGGTATCCATATAGTTATTGTGCATAACACTGATTTTTTAAATAATTTTTAGCATTAATCATATTTTTGAAACCACAAAGTCCTTTTTAAAAAAATCCTGACGTCAAAGAGAAAAACTAAAAACGCAATTTTACTCTATTTGGCCCATAGTTTCGTGGTTTCTTAATTTTTTTGTCGCACGGTGTATTATTTCGTTATATTAATCGATTCAATTTCGTTATATTTATCGATGTCATAATCGATATATGTATGTATTTCTAATGTCATAATCATAGACCCGGACTTTTATAACTTTTATAATAAAAGTCGTAAGAAAAAAGTTCTTTGGACTTTTATTTTATTTGAAATAAAATAATCGGTCAATCAGCACTCTTATTTTTTTTAGCTCAATAATAACAATTAAACTTGGCCAAATATTTTTTAAGGCCGAAATGAAAGTCCTCTCCTTATAATAAACAAACCGCTTATAAATTGATGCAAAATGTACATAGGTTCTTCCCAAAAATTTATAAGTTTCCGTATTAAATAAATTGGGGATATACACACGCTAAATTTTAGGTTATAGTTTTTGTAAAAATTGTCGATATCAATTTTGTTATACAAACATAGTTCTCGATACTAATATCGATTCATTAGAGTTAACGCCATATTTATGGTTTTGTAGCCCGTTTCTGTAACTTTTCTCTAACGATTATTTCTCTACTGGTAGAGAAAATATGTCACTCTCACCTACTAATTAGCAGTAGAGAACAGGGTGGCGAATTCATATCTCAATTCGCCTTGGTAGAGAATTGTTACAGAAACGAGCTACTGGTTTTAAATGTATCGATAAAGTCTAGTAGTACATACTTAATAAAATTGTTAAACAGTGCCAAATTAAGCTCAATTCTATATCGGTGACAAACGATTTTTTACTGACAAATTTAAAATTTTTCATATATTTTTCCGTAAAAAGCACTGTGACAAAAATTTGTGATTGATACAGAATAGAGCCGTTAGTCAAAATAATCGGTTAGTTTTTGGAAAAAGTTCTAATAACGGTAAAGTTTTCGCACTTACATCAAGTCGGGTGGCTCCTCCAACGATTCAGAATTCGAATTAGAATTAGATCCTTTTCTAGAGTTGCTTGCCGATATCATGGAGCGCTTCAATTGTTCGTTATACTGCTGCTTGCCATTACAGTTGGCAAATGTGCCGCCACTGAAACCACCCGCACCACCAACCACACCACCACCGCCACCACTTCCATTACCGCCACCACCAGAGCTACCACCACTCGCATAACCATTTGTGCCGCCTAGCGCATGACCGCTCTTACTCTTTAAGATACGCGTCTCCGAGCGACGCATCGGACTAGATTGCGGATCGGGTGATTTTGTGCTGTACATATAACCATAAGGACTGCCACGACTATCGCTGCCACTACCAGCGCCACCGCCGCAGCTACTGGCGCCACCACTGCCCGTAGCATGCTGAAAGTGCTCCAATTCCGTACGGCCACGATGCGCAGGCGGTGATGTGGGATCGCTGGAGTTGTGTGCCGAATATTTATTTGCCTCCAGCATCTCCTTTTTACGCTCCAAATCTAGCTTATCGAATTCGGTGAACAATTGTCGATAGAGCAGATTGCGCCTCGTTATATCATCGTCAGGTGGCAGCTGCTTGCGCACCAAACGCGGATTCACTTTGTACACCAACAACAGTATGCGTTCGGCCACTTTGCGTACCGGCTCAGCCGGATGATGTATGCCCGAACAGCCGCATTCGGAGAGGGCGCGACACGTCAGACCACTGTGCTTGTCTGTGCTAATGCCTTGGCTGAGCACCAGCTGTTCCAGCATTTGCATGCGACTGAGCGCCAGGCGTGGATGTGTGCCCGAACTGACGCTGCGCGACAACGCTGGCGCTACCAAATGCTGTTCAATCACCTCCGGACAGGCAGCTATGCTGAGTATAGTGTGTTGAGCGAGTGTATGAATGCGCGCTGATGGATCACCAGATTTGGCCAAGAGTTCGGGTAGCAAACGATCCACACAACGTGCCACCTCACTCTGGGACACGCGTCCAGGCACATATTCGAGAAAGAGCACGCGTACCGTTTCGGTGGCTTGACTAAAGACTGAGTAGACAGCATCACGAACGGCGCGGTGGAGAAGAAGTGCAGCGCTGCGCGCAACCTTATTCGGCCCAGCCGTACTCTCGCTACCCGAATTGCAGTTGGATTTGCTGTTTGTATTCGGTTGCTCAGGATCTATGCCTTTTAAGAAATTTCGCAAGCTTATCAAGCCATCTTCGCGATCTTGAAATTGTCTCGAATAGAATTGTTCAACCTGTAAAGGGCGTACAAAGTAGCAGATATTAGATGACATTTTCTTTAGTAATTAAAAAAAAAAAAAAACAGTTTCGCTTTGCCTTACCATATCATTACCAAATACGAGGATAGGTAGTGCAGCCTGGCGACGTTCGCGATCATTTAAACGCGAACGTCCGCGATTGGGATCGGCTTCCAGTAGGGCTGTACCTTGGCATTCCCTTAAAAATTCATTAGTATTTGAACTGCAGTACGAGTATGTGTGTGTGTGTGTGTGTGCATATGCGAATACATATGGCGGTTACATTCATATGTATGTACATATGTATAGTGAGTACGAGCACGTTGGCAACAAACAACGATACATATATGTATGTATGTAGGATTTTATTTGCACATAGAAAAATGCATTTTATATAAAAGAAAGAAAGAAGAAAGAACAGAAATCAACTAAAAGTACACCAAGATGTGATCTATGATATGTACATATATGTTACAATAGAAGTACATACTTTCATATGTATGTAGATATTTATTTTTATATGTATGTATAGTAGATATGTATGCATGTAGATATAGGATCTACATACCCAGCAGTAAATTTAACTTAATTACAAGAAGAAGAAGAATAATATAAATATGTACACCTGGGCGGAGTAATTTGTTCGTAATAAAATTTACGAAGAAAGTGTATAACAAATTCAAATTCTGCGATTAATTCTAAGAAAAAATGGCGAACAAACTATAAGCAAAAAATGGCGTTTGACCCTCTCAATTTTCAAAAGAAAATGCAATATGTTGTATGAAAAAAAAAACAAAATATTTTAAATAAAAAATTAATTTCGTTCAGAAAAATTATAATCAGCCTTATCATGAGTTTCGTTTTCCCCGAACCGGTTCACTTTTCACTCTTGGTTTCCATGGTTTAACTATGGGCGGATGACAAATTTTCGGGTGAATTTTTTTTCAAGCGAAACTCAGGATAAGGCAGGATATGTACACAGATTTTTCTTTTGAAAATTAGGAGAGTCAAACGTCATTTTTGGTTTGTTTGCCATTTTTGCTTAGAATCGAACTTAGAACTCGAATATATATTTCTTGCGAAATTAAATGTCTCCCATCAGTTTGCAGCTACTTTCTTACAAAGTGGCTCACTTTTTACTGCCGGGTATAGACATAAATATTCGTATTTTCTCTTACATATATGATGAAATGATGATTCTAATGAAGATTAATCAACCAATCACCATGCAAAAAATATGCAACGAGCTAAAAATTATCAGTCAATGTCATTGTGGCTTATTAACATTTATTTTTTTTATTGAGCTTTGTACCACTATTATTTTATTAGAAAAAATGGAAAAATCAACAAAGTCTAAGCGGTAGAAGTTCGAAAAGTTAGAAGTCTAGAAAAAAAAGTATGATGAGGAGATATAGTGATCTCCGAAATAGCTGCTACAACTTCTACCGCTTAGACTTTGTTGCTTTTTCCATTTTTCCTAATAAAATAATTTAATTTATTAAAAAAAAATAAATAAAAATTATCACATTTTATTTATTTTATAAATTTTCCTCACAGGGCACAGATGGCCAGAAGGCATTCAAAAACGGCCAAAAGTCAACTTTAGAATTTAAATTTTTTATGATAATAGCCAAAACAGACAGTAATTAAGGTAACTGTTAGTAAAATATTAGAGCAATTGTCTCAATATTGTGGTCACAATTCCATTTTGATTAAAATAATTGTATTTGAAATTTACAAGTCCGGTATATAGTAAAATTCACTTTTTTCCAGAAAATATTTTGTTTTTTGTTTCTTATTAATAAGATGCAGTAAAATAAAATAAAAAATTGAAAAACGTAATTCAAAATAGCCTTTGCTGAAAATAATTCGACAGTTTTTATTGAGTCAGGCATAAATTTTTATGCATTGCTGCAAAATATCCCTCAAAATGTGGAAATTACCCACAATCTGGCATCACTGGTTATATCAGAGGCAAAGGATTCAATTTGTCACGATGTCTTGGATGATAAAGACGAGGTGGTGGAAGACTGTGTTATTGATGATGTGAACATCCATATTGACTTCAAGTCTAAATTGGCTGATTGGGCTAGAAAATACAAAATAGCCCACTCTGCTGTATCTGAGCTACTTGTTTTATTGCGGAGCGAAGGAAAAACTGTAAAAATGCCACTAAAATCGGGAACTGGTTTTTTCCATTTCAAATTTCAATTTTTCGTACAACTCAAAAACCGGTTTAGGAAAAGAAGAAAATAATCGAACACCCTAATATCGACCACCAGGTTGCTGCACTAATGAAATGTGTTCTTCTGTAATGGTCTTGCGATAATTACCTCCGTCTTGCCCAATACTCGGCAGCGTATTTTTATTATTGATCCAGGAAAAATATTCACCCTATTCTACAGCGTATTGGATTCTTTGTGCAACCGGAAAATATTCCTCTCTGTATGACTGCTGACAAACGATTTATTTTTTTAACCGAAATGTCACAGGTTTTTTTTGTCCGTAGGGTAACAAAAAATATACATTCTACCTCCAATAGCACACTTATTTACATACATATGTACGTGTGTGAAAATTGTATGTGATCTTAAAAGACTCAAAATAGGTTAACTACTCAAGCTATGATACAGGGTCTTCTTATTTATGATAAGCATAAAAATGTAGCTATCTACAAACTAAGTGACCCACATGACGGATGGAGATTTTCTACAATTATCTATGCATAAGTACACTACTTTTACCGGTATCCGGTTTTACCATATTTTTACGCTATCGCACTATTTATACCGTATTATACCATCACTACAACACCATTAAACTTACTGTCTCAACGTTGGTATTGCACGTTCTTCGTAGTCTTCATAAGAATTACGTGGTGCACTCTTATTCCTGCGACGCAACGAACCTTGGCGGCTAGACATTGGCGAGCTGTGTCGACTTGGACTTCGCCCTTTCCCTAATTTTGGTGAAATTGGTATGTCGTCGTGTGATTTACGCAGTGCTGCATTTGATTGTAGTGACACGCCGTCGTTGGCATTGTGTTGTGCTGCAGCAGCTGTTGCTGAATGTACGCCTCCAACACTGCTCGAACAACAACCATCTGTTGAGGAACGATCATCTTGCAGACTCTTTGGGCTCATTGTGCTTGTTTGATAGTGCGCTTCCGCTAGCGCTTGTGCGACATCTTGTAAGCTAGGCGCTGGTGGTAATATCGGTTTGCTGGCATACACTTCGCACGCCATGTCATTGGAAGCGTTCAAGCCATCCGCTTCCAATAAATCGAGCACCAACAAATGCTTCAATACAAGCGCCTTGTACATTTCGATTTGTTCCTTTCGCAACTTGGCTGTGGTGAAATCCTCCTGTTGCACCGCTTGCCGCTTAGCGAGCGCGTAACGGCCCAACCGCTCGCCAGCGGTACGCAACGATGTCATACACAACTTTAGCTTGCGTGCATATTCGAAGCGTTCCGCGCCCACCGCTTGCAATTTCTTCTCTTCCATTTCGCGTATAATCTCCGCTATGGACTCCTCGACATACATGGAAAAGAGCAAATCATCGCAAATAGACATCAACGTTGGTTCGGCGGTGCCAGCGTTAGCGCCTGTTTGAGCAGCTACGTCCGCGTTGCTCGACTCATTGCTCGACGTTGCCGCACCGTTGCTTCCAGCAGGTAACTGTGCTTGTGAATCCACCTGCGCGCCACCATCCAACGCTACAGTAGCAACATTCTTATTCAATTCCTCGCCCAAGACATTGACCGCAATCAGCGCAATTTGCCCATCTGGATTGTAGTCGTTTCGATGCGCGCTGCTTAGACGTAACTTTAAATGTGTGCCACGTCGCGGATTCACCGAAACGCTTTGCAGTTCGCGCGACTTGTAATTGGTAGCGGCGTTGTCGGATAGCGCGACAAAACCTAGGAAGTCGAAACACTGCGAGGATGGAGTGCTAGGTATACCCTTTGGGGAGTAGTGAAGCCATAGTTCGACTTTCTCGGCTGTAGGTGAGAGATGAGAAAAAATTTTGCAGAAATGCTTTTGCTAAGAATTTTCACATATTTGCTTACGTATAAGGAACTGATGTGCTAAGATTTGTATGCGATAAATTTTAGCGGGCTTATGAAAACGTAAAACTATATCGTGCGGTGTTATGGTGCTGCCCGGCGCGCTACGCCATCCATGCACTGTCGGACCGTGGGTGTTAAGCTCGCTGGCTGGAAAGGCAGGATCCTCATCTGAAAAGGGAATTAGTTGTAAGAAAAATTAGTGGAGTATCTACTAGTCAGAACAATGAGATATGTATAGGTAGTGTGATTAAACCGGTTTCTTTAAAAGGGCTTTTTTCTGGTTTATGTACCGGAGTAAATAACCGAACACCCTACTTACGCCCTATTTCCATTTTTTATGTTATTGTTATGGCTTATTGAGAACGTGACACCGACGAAGCAACGACGGTTAACTTTTGTCATTGGCGTTGTAATAGGAGGGTTTGAGGTTTGATTAGAATTTATAATATACTTTCAGGCGATAAAGGTTGATAAAAATAATTAGCCTGTTCCTTTACTCGTCCAGTTTACAGAATTAAGGCAGAAGTATATCGTCACATTTAGTGCGGCAGATATTACTGAGGATATTGTTAATGTTCGTACGGTAACGACTTCTGACCAGTAAAGGAACAGAGGGCTTTATTTTAGCTTTAGCAGAATTCATCTGGTTTTCTTAAAAAATCTGTCAAATTAATTATGCACTATCAATTTTGTTTACGAGGCTTATTTACATACACATATGTGCATTAGGGTGGCCCAAAAAAAGTTAAGTCGGAATTTTTATGTTCTCATCCCAAGGACTGTTCTATACCGAAAAAACATACCACTGTTTTTTTATTTTAAAATCAATAACAAGTTCCTAAAAAGCCATTTTTCTGGAAAGTGCACTGGTTTCGTAATTTCGGCGATGAAGTAATGCAAAAGAGTTCGCTAATTGGAATGATTGTTGCCAAACTCAAAATGAACTAGCGGATGCTTAATTTTATTTTTTTTTAATTTGTTGACATTTGCGAGCTCTATTTTTTACGTGACTACTTAATAACCTAGGAAGCAAGTAGTACTGAAAGGAGTGAATCGACCACTCCCATGACAGCTTCCAGTTAAATTCGCCCTCTCGCTACAGAAGAAATAGGCAGAAGTAGTAAAATTTAATTTCATAATTCGGAAATACTTCCGTTTTCCTGCAGGTATACCTATTGGAAGAGCACAAAAGAAGCGTACGTAAACTGTCTGAGAGAATAGTCAACATTTATGCAGTTGGTACTAATTATGAACACATCGAAAACGACATCACCACACACGACATTAAGGTTTTATCTACATAATCTAAACGCCTTGTCGACGGCACATAAATTTGCTTGAGTTTACATTTGAGCTACATTTTTGGCTAGTCGCAATGTTGCCGTATCGTCGCCAAAATAATTATCTACATAAGAGTACGTGTTAAAATAATTTGACAGCTGTGGTCCGTAGCCTATCGTTTCCAATGTGTTTCAAGCTTGAAGCTACAGCAGAGTTGTTGAGTTGGCGGCAAAGTGGGCATAAACAAAAGCAGTATTCTACATTCTACAAAGAACAACGTTACCTAAAATAAATGTATGTGGATTAGGGCGGGTCAATTTCTTTTCTACATCGTCCCTTGCATATTCGTTACATCCATTACACCATGGCTCCAAAGTCGATTCCGAGCCTGCGAAATTTTAAAAGCAGCTATCTTTAATTAATACAAAGTTAAAAACTTTGCTTTGGGGACCCTCACACTCCTTCAAGCCCCCGGGATGTACCTATTTTCTAGGCTGCTCGCATAGATGAGGGTGAGCTAGCGGTGGGGTAGCAAATTTTTAAATTTTGGAAAAATCTATGCAAATTTACTACGATTGTAGCAAAGTAGCCACGCTGTATATCTGTGTGAAAAATGTATTACTTGTTAACTTACAATAAAGAAGGAAACCTGAAAAACTTTTTGTTTCAAAAGTAAAAATGAATTCCAAAATAATGTTATGAAATTCTACCACTCTCATTTCTCAATCGCTTTGATAAAGTATAGGCATCTCATCGCTTTAACATCGAGAAACGAGTACTGAATTAAAGAAGCGAAAGCATATTTCTTAATTCCAAATCAAGGTTTTAGCAACAGTTGATTATTTGGATTAGAAATGCTTTCGAATTTTTTGCCACGTACCTCAAACTTTTCCTACAGGCATACCTGTATACATATCTTCTTCTTCTTTTTTGGCGCTGTAACCGCCTAAGCGATTTTGGCCGAGTTCAGCAAAGCACGCCAGTCGTTTCTCCTCTGTGCCAACTGACGCCAATTGGAAACGCCAAGTGAAGCCAAGTCCTTCTCCACCTGATCTTTCCATCGCAGTGGGGGCCTCCCTCTTCCTCTGCTACCACCAGCGGGTTCCGAGTTGAATACTTTCAGAGCTGGAGCGTCGGTGTCCATTCGAACGACATGGCCAAGCCAGCGGAGCCGCTGTATTTTAATTCGCTGCACTATGTCTATGTCGTTGTAAAGCTCATACAGCTCATCGTTCCATCGTCTGCGGTACTCGCCGTCGCCAACGCGTAAAGGACCGTAAATCTTCCGCAAAATCTTTCTCTCAAACACCCCAAGAGCCGCCTCATCGGATGTTGTCATTGTCCATGCTTCTGCGCCATATACCAGAACGGGCATGATGAGTGACTTATAGAGCGTGGTTTTCGTACGTCGAGAGAGGACTTTACTCCTGAATTGCCTACTCAGTCCAAAGTAGCACTTGTTGGCAAGAGTGATTCTACGTTGGATTTCAATGCTGACATTATTATCGGTGTTAATGCTGGTTCCCAAGTAAACGAAATTCTCTACTTTCTCGAAATTGTAACTGTCAACAGTGACGTGGGTGCCAAGGCGCGAATGTGCTGACTGTTTGTTTGATGACAGGAGATACTTCGTCTTGTCCTCGTTTACCACCAGACCCATGCGCTTTGCTTCCCTATCCAACTTGGAAAAGGCAGAACAGACTTCGCGGTTTTTGTTACCGATGATGTCGATGTCATCGGCATAAGCCAGCAATTGCACGCTCTTGTAGTAAATTGTTCCTGAGCGGTTCAGTTCTGCAGCTCTTATTATCTTCTCCAACATCAGATTAAAGAAGTCACATGAAAGGGAGTCGCCCTGTCTGAAACCCCGTTTTGTGGCGAACGGCTCGGAGAGGTCTTTTCCAATTCTGACGGAGCTGGTGGTATTGCTCAACGTCATTTTACACAGCCGTATGAGTTTTGAGGGGATGCCAAATTCAGACATAGCGGCGTATAGGCAACTCCTTTTAGTGCTGTCAAAAGCGGCTTTAAAGTCGACAAATAGGTGGTGAGTGTCGATCCTTTTCTCGCGGGTCTTTTCCAAGATTTGGCGTATTGTGAATACCTGGTCTATGGTGGATTTGCCAGGTCTAAAGCCACACTGATAAGGCCCAATCAGTTCATTGACGGTGGGCTTCAGTCTTTCGCACAATACGCTCGATAAGACCTTGTAACCTATGCTTAGAAGGCTGATCCCGCGGTAGTTGGCGCGAATGGCGGGGTCACCTTTCTTGTGGATTGGGCAGAGCACACTTAAATTCCAGTCGTCGGGCATGCGTTCATCTGACCATATTCTGCACAAGAGTTGATGCATGCACCTTATCAACTCCTCGCCGCCGTACTTGAATAGCTCAGCTGGCAGGCTGTCAGCTCCAGCGGCTTTGTTGTTTTTCAGCCGCGTTATTGCTATACGTACCTCGTCATAGTCAGGCGGTGGAACGTCGACTCCGTCATCATCGACTGCGGGCTCGGGTTCTTCTTCTCCACAACTTTCTGTGCTGCTGCCATTTAGTAGGGCGGAAAAGTGTTCCCTCCATAATTTAAGTACGCTCTGGACATCAGTTACTAGGTCGCCATTATTGTTCTTACAGGAGTGCGCCCCGGTCTTTAAACCTTCCGTAAGTCGCCTAACTCTCTGGTAAAATTTTCGGGCATTCCTCCTGTCGGCCAGCATTTCAAGCTCTTCGCACTCACGTATTTCTGCCTCTCTCTTCTTGTTGCGGCAAATACGTCTCGCTTCCCTCTTCAGATCCCTATAGCGGTCCCACATAGCGCGCGTTGCGCCCGATCGCAGCGTGGCCCTGTAGGCGGTATCTTTTTTCTCTGCAGCTTCCTGACACTCCTCATCGTACCAGTTGTTCTTTCGGGCTCGCTGAAATCCGACTACTTCTTCGGCGGCGGTACTTAATGAGCGGGAAATGTGGTTCCACTGCTCGCATATGTCGGTTTGTTGAAGAGTGCTCTCTGAGAGCAGGTGTGAGAGTCGAGTAGCGAAAGCCCTGGCTGTCTGCTGTGATTGCAGCTTTTCGACGTTAAGCTTTCCTTGCATATTTGGGCGCACATTTTTTGCTGCACATAGGCGGGTGCGTATCTTGGCTGCAACAAGATAGTGGTCCGAGTCGATGTATATAGTTCCTATTTGCTCTTGCACTCTTAAAATTGCCATAATCTCCATACTTTAGTTCCACTTAATGACAGGGATGGAAAAGTGGGTACAATTGTACCTTTTTCCGACTTTTTCGAAGCAAAAGGTACATTCGGTACACTGAGCTCAATTTAGGTACAATTAGACGATGGCCAAATAAATATCCATATTTAAGACTACGTTGCTCGCGAAAAAAAAAAAATTAGGAAAATTTTCGTAAGCAAGGAACAACAAGAAATCTTTGCAAAGTGGCCAAGTTCCAAGAATAGTGAAAAACTCCTCCCCTTTTGAGGGATTTCTAGCAAAGTGGCTACACTTCATGCGTGTCAATTTCAAATTGTGAATGAGTTGAAAGTGCGGAATAATATAATTAAAGGCGGAAATATCTGTAATCTGAATGTACTCTGGCGGGAATTTATTCTTGCAACGATGAGTAGGAAAGTCAAATTTTGAGTAAAATTTAGCTCAAGTTCGGCTGCCCACGAAGTACCACTAATAATACCCAATTGTTCATTTTACCATTTCTAATAATAGCACTTTTTTATGGATCCCCTATTGCATTTTTTGAGAGTCTTAAGGGTCCTATAAGAAATAGTTAATAAAATAAAGCGGTTAAATAAACAATTGGATAATATTATTGAAAGTCTCCAAAAGAAAAACGACGTTTTCCGATCGAAAACTTTGAGTGCTTTGAGCGCCCCAAAAAAATTTCTTTTTTGCAAATAAAAACAATTTTTTCGAGCATTAAAATTCCAACTTTACTTTTATATGGACCACTCCAATGTACATATATACATATATCTTTATTGAAGTTTTATGAACAGGGAACGGAATTTTAGGACCTAAAAACGTATAAAAAAGGCAAAATAAAATAATGAAATAGGTTGGAAAAGGCAAAATAAAATATCGAAATAGGTAGGAAAGGCACTAGAAATAGTAAAAAAGGCAAAAGAAGGCACTAAACAAAGACAATAACTTAAAAATAGCATTAGTTTACAAAACAAATGTTCAACGGACGCCACTACATATCCAATTCCTATATAGAATTGCTTGCTTATCCGAAAATCGAGTCAATTTTTTATACTATGGATACGTTTTCGAGATATTTTCAGGTGTACATGGGGAATGAGTAACATTCTTCCCTATTATCAGGAATAAGGACTTTTTCCTCGCTATAATCACTTTTTAAAAGGTACAATAGGCAAAAAAGGCAATATCAAATGTGTATATATAGAATCTGGGAAAGCTAAATCGTGGACATTCTTAATCGAATATACTCTAGCTCTTTAGCAGAAAAAAGGCAATTTCCATAAAATCCATTCCCTGTTTATGCATATTAATTGATATATTAATCACATTCTTGTTAATGCAAATAATGTATAAATTTATTAAATTGTTAGCAATTGTCTGAAAGTAATAGAAAAAGGCAAAAAAATCGTGAGTTACTTTTTAGCTACATTTGACAGCAAAAAGGTACATTTCTATTATCAAATTAGGTACAGTTTGAATTTTCGATTTTCCATCCCTGCTTAGTGAAACAGCTGAGCAAGAAACAAGCATATTTTTAAACAGATATACATACATATGTACATATATACTTGCTTATCAATGGCCTGCCACTCAACAAACGCGTTAGTAACGCTCCAAGCACACAGTGGGTTTAGTCATACGGAATAATGAGCTGTAGATACATTCAAAACTAGTAACTCTCAACGAAAATAGAAAAACTTACATACATATACATATTAGCTGCAAGTGCTTCAAGTGGTTCTTCAAAATTATAACTTGCTGAATCAGCGAAAACCAAAAGTCGAAAATGGCTACTTCAAATACAAAAGTGACAAATTCGGAGGCTGCGTCCATTGGGAGAACGCTCCTCTCCATATGGTTACAGATACAAAGTATACTGAATAGTATCAATCACATATTGATCGGACTGATTGCCATCTATTTCACGGCGCTGGGACGTAGCCTGAACTTTCAGAATACAGCCATGCATGCCTTGCTCACTGTCATCGGGGTATGTAAAGGTCAATTAATAAATGTATGTTTGAACATACGATGTGTAAAAAATATAGATTGTGAGAGCATATGTTTGCTTACCTTTGATCGGTAATAACTCGCTTATTTGGCGTATCTTATCGTGCTTCATTAGCTTTGGGGTATTTATTTACTTATGTGTGTTTGTACATATGTATGTATATACTATGCACCGATATAAGCCTGTTACAATTTTAATGAAGTTTTTAGTATATTTTTTTTTTTTTATTAAGCATGAGAACTCAGTTTGCAAATTGAAATAACGTAGTAAAAAGAATAGCCGTTTCTATCAAAATAATTAAAAAATTTTAGTCGAATTTTGTATTCTAAGGGTCAGTTTTTCAGTGCCAATTTAAACTTAGATTAAGTAAGCTGAGTTTAAATTGAACAGCTGGCTGGCATTTGATTGGCTGATCTTAGTTTAAACCAGCCAGATCGGGCGTTTAAATTTAGTTTAAGCCACGGCCGTGCACTGAAAAACTGGCCCTAGGCATCTCAGTTTAACCTATTTTTAACATAGTTTTCAAAATACGACTATCTTCAGGTTGCTGAGTTTCATGAAAACATTTTTTGATACTTTTATGTTAAATTACGTAGACAAAACTTACAAAACTTTTTGATCTGAAAAATGTTAGAATTTATCAATGAAACGGGAAGCTAGAGGCAAAAAAGCAGTAAGATCAATTAATAATTTTTCCACTTTAATTTCTTTCTACAGTATATAAGTCGATAGATAGTGGATATATTTATCGATATTACCGTCGAAAAATATTAGTGCAGATAATTATCGATATAATTATGGATATACATACATATTTAAATGAATAATTATTGATATATTTATTGGTGTGAATATCGATATATTTATTGAAATAATTATTGATAGATATACATGAGTATTTTTCGATATCCTTTCAACATACATACACTGCCGGCAAAAAGTATTGGCACCGCAAATTTTTTACAATATATGCAAAAAAATGTCTTATATTTTTTTTTTAAATATGGTTCATTTTAAACAAAAAAAAATAAAAGTATAATTCGTAAACTTTGTGCAAAACTCGCGATAATTCAGCAAATATTTATACAAATTAAAAGTTAACTTTTTAATCAGATTTTTTTGAATTTGTTTGAGTATGCAGTTTCGCAGCCCATTAAATTCTAGT